TAAATCCTAGCTTCAATTTACTGATTGGTACTTGGTGATCAGAAATCCCTGAGACGATATTAACGACGGCTTCATTTAGTGGAAATTGGCCACTAATCAAAATAAGATCCAGAATTGTTTTTGTTTCCTCTATTATTCTCGTTAGTTCTAAAACAATCTGCTGTACACCGAAATTTATAATTAAATTAATAAGTGTCTCAGATGATTGTGACGTGTACTGCATAGTGTTCAAGTCTATATCAGGAAGGTTGAAGTCCCCCATGACAACTAGGCGAGAGTTGTGAGCATAACATTGAAGAAAGGTTTGAACCGCTATAGTAGAATCATTCCCAGAAGAGGGGCTTGTGTAGACACACCCGGTAACTATGTTAATGCCATCGCAAATGATTTTACAGAATACCGCTTCAGCGCCCAAAACATCAGGAATAGCGTCAAAAGGAATTAACTTGCTTATCAGCACGGCTACGCCACACCCGCGCGTGGGCCAATCTTTCCGGATTACTGCGTAGTCAGGAGGAGCGATTTCATCATTAAAGATATCCGGCGTCGGCCACGTTTCGGTGATAGCTACCATGTGTGGTTCTTGATCTAGCAGTAATTTGAGGCATGAAGTCTTATTTACTATGCTGCGGGCGTGCGTTTACAGTTAGTAGTGTTATTTTTTAGATTGAGCTTTATTTGCAGGAATACAGGCCTTGTTTCCAGTATCTGCATTCACGACGCGACATGGTAAGCTATAGTCACGCCTCTCTTGGCACCTGCGTTGGTTGTCCACAAAAACATTGGCGTTCGTTCACTGCACGTAACAGAAAACTTTAAAAATTCAACATTAGCGTAGTTCGGCGGAACAACTGTCAACTCTTTGGCACAAAGCCAGGTGCCTCGGAAGATCCGGAATATTGATAGACTGGAGTGTGTCTTCATTTTCGCCCAGATTCTTCTTCTCTTCAAAGATACACATGGTGTTTTATCGTCTTACGACCACAACGTGAGGTTACGACCACAACGTGAGGGCTGCCCTATAATTACAGGAATCGCCTGTGACTCCTTTGGCACGATCAACATGAGGTCACAGGCTGTTGCTTGGTCGACTGTGAGGTTAACGTTTGTCTCACCACATGGCGTCACACATCCTGACCCATAGCCTCCAATAGCGAGTGGCTTCTCCATCATCGTGCATTCGATCCCAACCCGATCAGCATTCTCGCACTGAATAGCGACACACTGACTGCCGAGGCCAACGTACGCTCTTACTTCGGTACTGTTAACTTTAACCAGCGTAAAGTATTTTCCGTTCGCCGCCTCTACTGCACGAATATTTAGATCCAAAACGCTTTGAAAGAGGCGCGGCCCACTCGCTCTTTTTTCTGAAGTTCTGGGCTGCCTGTCCACTTCAGTTGCAAAGGTTGCACCTTGCTTCCGCTGCAGACATGGGCAGTTGAGAGAGAGGTGACCGTACGTATAACAGTAAGACATCACGGCCCTCCTTCTACGGGAGAGGGGGCTTCTGTCTTTGGTTCAGAGAGTCCGGTCTCCCTTCTTAGACTTAACTTACAAAAGATACAGCCTTATGCTTGCATTGTTACTGCAGCTTAGCGCAGCTTTATTTTTATGTAAAGCAGCTGACAATTTAAGCACAAATTGACTTACTGAACTCACTGTGAATGACGTTTTTCAATGCGCAGTTGGAGACGAAAATTGCGGGCAGCGTCTTCAGAAATCAAAAAAAAAAAATTGAGGGGCCCTCAAGCTTTGTCTGTAAGAGTGAAACGCGATAGCTATATCTTGTCTCTAGTGCGTACTTCTAGCAATTAGTGCATACTTTTAAATGCGAAGCATTTCTTAGCGAACTTCGGCGACTTTGAGCGTATCTATCTATCTATCTATCTATCTATCTATCTATCTATCTATCTATCTATCTATCTATCTATCTATCTATCTATCTATCTATCCAGCCACTTACGTTTGAATGCTGTCGTGGTCACCCACTTAACTTGGCGTGAACCAAAATTAGCATGGAGGAAAAGATGATTTGACAAATATGACACGCTAGTCAAAACATGAATAATGCCACAATTCTGTCACGTACGTCATCAACCACTTTCAGCCAGACAGTGGCACATACCCATGGGTGGGTATATGCCACTCAAATGCGGGTATGTGCCACAGGTCATTGACACTTAGTATATATCCAGGAACGACGAGAACACACATGGGCAATTTCGAAGCGCAAGTGTTAAGTACCCGACATCAGTAGCGTCGACCCAATCAATGCAAAGAATAAATGTCAAGGTCCCAGCTGGAATCAAACCGAAGCATTCTGCGCGGCAATGAAGCATTATACCACAGAGCTACGCCAGGTCTTGCAACTACTTTTCAAATAGACGCTAGTCTTCGGTCAATGTCAATAGCGGTTGCAGTGCTGCCTGCCTAATTTTAAAAACATTACGTATGTAATCCTTTGATACAGCTGCCACGTCGGGTTAATGTCAATTTTGGTTAGTTGCCAAGCACTGAAGTTTATTAATGTAGCAGTGTCCAGGACCAGCATCTTCGCGAGCATCAAAGCTTCTTATCAGATTCTGGTGTTGCTAATACGCATGTTCCAGTTCGCATCATCACGCAACTGCACACAACTGGATATATAAGCATCTGCAACTCTTCAACATGTGTGTGCAACATTTGTAGATATATTTAGTGTCATTCCATGACGTGTTGCTCAATAAAAAAATTGCAACACGGTCACCTTCCCCCGCATGCTTTGCATAACGTCGATACCCAGGTACGTTGGATCTGCCGAATCTTTTATTCTATGATATTGCTCGAGAAACTTAAATCGTGGATTGGTACAATGTATTTAATATACTTCAAAGTTGCTTGGGTCAGTGAAGCTCTCGCATCTGGCAGCATTTCGTGTTATAGTACTATGTTTTAAACCACAAGCGTGAAATCTTTTCGAGCTTGCTATGCACCCGCTACGTGACTTTAAGTATAAAGGCACAGCAATAATAGTGCCGTTTGTAGCGGATGGCCTGCTATGAACCACGAATTCATGATAATCGCATGATCTGACGCCAGATCGCAATGTACACTTGTACAACGTAATTAAACTGTGATATGTCGTGTTGTACTGCGAAGCTTGTACACAGGACGTGTGGGTTTATAAATCATCAAGTGTTATTTCCAAGCAGAGGAAGTAATTCTCACTATATCTCTAAGCAGATGTGTGGCTATGTGGTTGAAGACCTGCTTGCCGTGCAAACGGTGTGGGTTCGATCCTCAGTCGATCCTGCAAATTTTAGAGGCGTAGCTTCTCTAGGTCGAGGCTTGTCCGTTGTCGGCGTTGTGCGCCGTAGTCGCCGCTGACGATAACGCTGATAACGGTGAAGAGCAAGCGCGTTCCAGACGAGGCATTCTCTTTCTGTCATTACAGCACAGCACATGCAAAGTATTAACTATACGTCATGACGATGAAGAAGGTAATGATATTCACGGACAACAACTGGCTTGTGGAATAGATGACGTCTTGATATGCTCTGCGATACATTGCGTATGACTGGAAACAACCAACAATCACAAGGAGAATGTGCGCAGACCTCGTCTTTGCCAACTTCAGGCAAAATTTGATACCACGAACAATAATAACAAAGGCAAAATGAACTTCACAACTCCACTCATCAGATCACTAATGACCTATAAAAAATGTATATAACTGCACACCGATTGGCACTGATTTACACGTGGGAGTGGTCAATGTAATGGGTGATTTAACGCTGGACAATCCCACTGCTTCGCCCATTCATCATCATTTATGTCGTGGATATGGCGTGATTCTAATTAATTATTCTATTTCAATCTTTCTCAGTTTATTGGTGACGTACAAGATGGTGATTTTCCACTCACAAACGACGCTCACAACGACAACGACGCTGACGACGGCAATTATGCGAAACGAGCTTTTCAACGCTGTTACGCTAAAAGAGGTTTATCTACTCATATGTGCATCGTTAACGCTCAGTACTTAAGCAAGGATGATCAGAGGCTGAGCTAAAGGGTATGGTTACATATTTGAATGACCACGCGACAAAAACGGCCAGGGGAGCATGCCATAGAACAAAAGCTAAGTTTACTGCCAAATGAAATCGCAAGGTTAAATATTGACTTTCATGCAACCATACGAGCAACATGAACCCTCCGAAATAAAAAATAACTTTGTAATAACACATTAAGTAATAAACAGCTCATAAACATGAACTTGTAATAGAAATTTTGTATTCTATTTTGTTGTTGTTTTTTCTATTTTTCGTTTTTTTTCGAACCCGTTTCGTTTTTTTTGATACCCAAGTAATGAAATTGATGCCGTATTCCAGCATGAGCTTTGGCATGGCAGATTCACTAGGTTATCCAGTGCCTAACCATCTCTTTGGGTCATTTCTCTAACCTGTACATTACTTATAATGTAACCGGCTTGATGAGCGCAATGTCACTCATGGATAGATTTTGAGCAGTTCGGAGTGCAAATGTTATAACGTGGTGCAAACGACTGACGTCGGCCGAAAAATGGAAGATTCATACGTATGTCTTGGGTGCAGTGCATTAAATGTAAAGAGGAAAAACAGCCAAAGTATATGGTGCTGAAAGAGCTCCTTGTTAAGTTTGTTGCAGGGTAACTAAGATATTTTGCACCCCCGCCTCTGTGGAACAAAGCTACCGTTCTCAGCTGCTTACTTTAAGGTTGTGCGTCGATTCCCGGCTGCGGCAGTCGCAATTAAATGGAGCATAAATGGTAAAGGCCCATGAACTCTGTAACATCAGCGCCCGTCAAAAAACCCCTGATGGTCGAAATTTTCGAAGCGCTTCCCTACGACGTCTATCATATCGGTTGTTTTGGGACGTGAAATTCCAGATGTTATTATTACAATGTTCAGATGAAACAACTCCCCCAAATCCAACGATTGTTGATACTTCCGTAGTTGGGAAAAGACGGTATTGAAATTTACCTTTCTGTGCCTCCTTGTCCCCTGAGTCGCCAGACATAGGTGGCCGTCTTGGCTTCGGGGTCATATTCTGTACGTATCGCACTCAGGCACTTGAATGAAGTATCATTTGTCGATGTAGAAATGGCGACAACTTCTTGAAAGGCGGCTATTGTCTTCATAGAAAATAAAAAACAGGAATGTTTACTGAAGATACCACAGAAGGTTTGTATTCATGTTAAACAAAAGTAAAATTGTCATTTTAGTATGCAAAATATATTGAAAAATCAACATGTCAAGTAACAGTGCAATGAAATTTCACAGCAAATGACCATAAATGCTAAATACAAGTGCGAACATGCTGTGAATTTCGGAATAAGATTCTCAAGTTTATCAATTTTATGCTTGTTTTTTTTTTCAATGCCTAAATGTGCCAGACACTCCTTTCAGCTATATGAGACTGCAAAACATGGGCGTGGAGTGCCAGCTTATCGAGCACTTTCAACCATCTTGTGGTAAAGGACCTGCTGAGGGGCACAGTTTCACACAAAAGAATGTATTGCTGCAAGTGGATGTGTGCCACATCACTTGAGAGGGTCAACATGCCATCATCATTGCCCTTGTATGTATTCTATCGAGATTTGTGTGTATTGAGCAATCTTTAACCTGATCAGTCATAAATTATTGATAGTTATTATTGCAGCATATATCTACGCGTAAAATTTGACACTGCCGCACTCGTACTATTGAAATCTTTGTGGGTTATAACACACAAAGATCTCGAATACACTGCTGCTTCACCACTCCCGTGAGAAATTATTTTTTGTAAACTCCCAGGTTCTAAGCAGAATCATGTTTTGTATCCAAGCGCCACTGTTGCTCGAGTTTTTTTTTTTCTCTAGCATATCAAGCGAATTTACTGTTTTGAACAGCCTGAATTTCTAAATATGGTTTTTTTGAAAACACGCAACACGGAAATAACTTGTGACTGCAGCAACATACGTAATTGCGCACTGTGAGAGCAATAAACTTGGTCTTTTTACTTCACTCGATCACAAAATATTCTAAACATTTACTACGTTCCCAAGCCTATAAGCGGCTTCAATGAGACTCGGAGAAGATCATTTAAGCTAGCGAGTTTCCCACCTGCTTGCATGCTAGTTATACAAAAGAAGCTTTGTAAAAAAACTTGGTTCATATGTGCGTAGGTGTCTGACTGCGATATAAAGCATTTCACAAGCAGCTCACTTGAATAAAATTCCCATTTGCTTTTAAACATTCTTTCTTCAAGATGACAACTGATGCATTGAGAACATTATTTATGTTTTTGTAAAATTCATCTCGTTGTGTGTGTGCTGCAAGCTACGAAAATGAAAGGGCTCCTTTGTGTCCCCGTTTCGCTACGTTTGAATACTTGCAAAAATGGTCGTAATAGTCAGACATTTCACTCGGCGTACTTTTCAGATTACATAAAGCTCGGAATATTTGCGCGCTTGTTATTACCAGTGCAAAATTTTGTATCGCTTGGACTACGCGAGGTATTTAAACAAACACAAGAAAATTATTCAAAACATAAATTAATGCTAACCATAACTTTAATTCCTGCCAATAACAAAGCTGTTACAACCACTTTCATCATGAGCAGCTGTGCTAATTTTACGCTATGCTTGAAATCTTACTCAATTTTTCCTAGTGCTTCAAAAAAGCACATTACGGTTCAGTATTTTTCAAAGAAAATCACCCTGAAGGTATCCACTCGTTCCGGTGGGACGTTACGTCTTGGAGTCGCCGTTGCCAGTCCAAAAAAGAGCATGCCGATAGCAAGCTTCAGCCAAGACATACCGAAAATATGAGATGTGCTCGTGCCTCCGACAACAAGGCCGCACGTAAATACTGGTGGCAACGTGTAAACCACTTGCTACTTATACTAAATGCATTATTACAGAAAGAATAAAAAAATATCATAGATCTTAAAACGATGCCTAAATCAGCTTTCTGGCAGTATGTTTTTCTGTTTCCTTCCTATCTACTGCGCTAGCCGATTACTAAGCAGGCTGCACATTGTTGACGTGTGCCTCGTCAACATGTCTTCGGCCACATGAGAGGTGGAGGGAGATAAAAGTAGCCGTATCAAATGAGCTGCCCAGAGCGCAAATAACTTGATATATGTGCCCTACTTAAGTTCCCTGTTTTTACACATTCTTTCGAAACATTTAGGAAAGCTCCACATAGCGCTTAGCATAAGCAATTTTGTTCTTTGTATCTATTACAGACTGTTCATAACCCCACCATTTTATCAGCTAAACGCTCTAGTTCTTTTTCTCATTCCCTGTGGTATATCTTTTTTTCCAGTTCGTCGCTTGAGCTGCTGTCCAGCCCCGTCAGCAACCGACAACACTAGTGCCGTCTGAGAGAAATCTGCTTTGCTAGGTAGTGAAAAGCGCAGTGGTTTCTCCTTGCGGTGACGTATAACCCCCTCTAGCTGGCTGCTACACCCGTGCCTGGAGCCCATTTTCTCCTGGCCACGTCTTACCTGCTCCTTAGTCCTTCCTTGAAGTGCCTCTTTTCTCATGGCCACGTCTGCCCTGCTTCTTAGTCCTTCTTAGAAGTGCCTCTGTCGAAGCGCTGGGCGGCGCACAATGGTTGGATCTCTCACATGCCGCCAAGTAGCGCAGATACAGCGTGCTATCTTCATCGTCATGTTTTGATCACAGGCACCACACCACTCACGTACATCATCACAGATAGAGTATTATATTGAACACTCCTTCACTTCAACTACGGTGACGTTTACGACAACACAAAGACACTAATAATTTGTAGTTTACAAGTTAAATCGCTGTTACTAATTTATCTTAGTGATGTCTGCATTTCCTCTCACATAGGGGTTACAAGGACAGTAGCATATCATTTTGAAGGCAAGGTCAACGCCGTACGCATTGCTGCTTTTAAAATGTAACATACAAATGCGAGATTATTCATCCGCCAAGGCACCTATACGCCATAAAGTGGAAGTTTATTGATCAGTGTGCCTCGTCGCGATCCACGTTCGTAGTTTTCGGGCATGGCGATAATAGACAAAGGCAGTTTGCCGTACTCTAAGGTCCTGGCCAAACAATGGTGTCTCGAAATGCCATAAAGACAATAAAGGCTGCCACACAGGCATGTTCAAAGATCACTTCACTGATTTAACAATAAATATTGCATACACATGTTGAATCTTAACATTGAAAAATCAGATCTTCAAATCAGCAATATTACTTCGCAGGATATTGAATGTGAAATCGCTTCGACAACACGTCATTTAAGATTGACGTAGAATCCGCGCAGATATGGGTAGAGGCACAAGACGAAATAGCTTGTTACTTAGTTATAACATTTAACTTATTGCACATCTTTAATGAGGCTATTGTAGGAGTTGGAGAGAAAGTAAATAACAACAATGAACACTGAAGAACTATTTTCTGAGAATCACTCATGTGTTAAGAAATGGATACTTCCAATGCACGAATACCAGGAATATAAAGTTGACAGTGAAAAAATTATACTATACATGTCAGTGTAGGTGAAGCAGTTGAGATGAGAAGGGTGTGGTCACTCCTTGTAAATAAAGATCAGGGAAATAACTGCCTAGAGTTTCCAGGCGGGGAGAATTGATTAGAGTGTAAAGAAATTTTACACATGGCATGCTTCACAAGTCCGGCGACACCTAGCAAGGGAAAAGTTGTACGAAGGAAAATCTCTTCTATATCTTCTGCATGCCGTCAACGAGCACCCGCGAGGTGCACGGTTGGTAGCTAGTTCAATTCTTTGGATATTTGTGCTGAATAACTGCTTAAATTGCTCATATCTCTATTTCGCTTTTAATACTGGGCACACGTGCATCTTCGCCATTCACACATAAGAGCATACATCAGATTGTAAATGACGACACAATAAAGTACTCTGTGCTCACGACAACCGACAAAATGTAATTAACGATGAAATAAAAGCCGACTTATAAGATGAAAAACTGATTTTTTGTGAGACTCGCAATACAATTTGGCCAAGTTTCCTTGTCTTCCCCGTTTATTTTCCGAGATAAAGTTGACTGTCTCTTAATTACTGCAAACTTCCGATCACAAGACACCACATAACACGATTGTCCATTATCAATGGTCATTATCATCCCCTTGTGGGATAGCTGGTATTCTATGTCCTATGCTTTAGTGCAAAGAAAAAAAAAAGAGGACGCATTGCTAAATAAAAGACACGCCACAATCTCGAATTGAATGATGATGAGTAGGCGAAACAGTGGTGTCATCCGGTGTTACCGTAAATCTCCCATGACGTTTACCACTCACGCATGTAAATAAGTGACAAAGTGGGGTGCAGTTATATTTATGTGAATCGGTCATAAATTATATGCTATGTTGACTTGTGAATTTTCTTTTGGTTGAATTACTACTGCTTTGTGGTATCGCATCTAACGGGTAAGTTCGTAGAGAAGAGGTGTGTGCACGTTCCCCTGGTTGTTGTTAGTTGTTTTCGGTCATACGAAATACATTGCAAAGCTTATCAGGACATCATATACTGCTGAAGCCTGTTCTCACCGGTTGTTATCACCGCGAACAGCGTAAACATCATCAAGGCTAAGGAACACGCCAACAAGCCACCATTGACCTCAGGGTGCGTGCTTCCCACTTAAAAGAAAACTAGCAGTTATTTCGTGTTTGAATACAACCAATAAGCTAAGCCCATCAGAAATGGGATCTGTTTGATCTCGCTGCTGGCTTTCATAAAGGCGGTAGTGTGGAGAGCTAGTATTTATAGCGTCTGCTGCGCACGGTGGCGGAAATGACTGAATGAGTGTCTATAGGTGGCTCCACGCTTACGCTACCACTCCCCTCGAGCGTGCGCCTGTTCTCTTGCTCAGCACGCTAGCACAGCACAGGGAGCTTCGACTGCGTAGTGCTGTCTTTCTAAAGAATTCTTTTAAAGAACAGAAGTAGGGGAGTCGTGCACTGAGGAGTGGAGGGCACAACGGTGAGAGCAGGGCCGCTCAATCTGCCAATGGAATGCGGCACGCTTCCAGAGAATCGGGGAGAAGGTTACGAGTGCGGATAGATATACCACGTGACCAAAACATTCAACGCCTTGATTTTCTTTGGGGGCAGCAGAAATGGGCTTCAAGTTTGTCAGTCGCATGTTCGCCATTATCCCAATTTGCCGTTACAGAGTATGTTTGTGCAGCGACGCCTCCGTCGAACGTGGCTGCGCACACTTCGCAGCCGTCATCGTCACTACCTCAAACTGTACATGGGTAATTGCTATATTTTCCACCAAGCTTACCAAGTGAAAAAAATTAAAAAAATTTACGGGTAATGTGACGTTCAAAAGTCGCGTGACTCGTCGTACTGCGCGTCCTGTGCTTTTGAGGTGAGAGTACTACAAACTGCTCCCGCCTGCTCTCGGGGGCAAAAGTGCTCTCGCTATACCGCTGAATCACAGTGCTCGTACACTGGTTTGACCACTGAAACACTCCGGCCCCGACGAAAGCACTATCGGCGTGCTGTTGAGTGCTCCTGTTCTCTCAATGGTATTCGCCATAAAAATGGGGCTACTTGCACTCGCCGTGCTAGGCTCGAAGCTGGCCGAGCACGCGCCCACTCTTTTACGGCCTGCACTTCGTGTCTAGTTCCTACCTTTCACCGCTGCTAGTTCATGGCACTGCGGTAATGCGGCTCACGCTATGACTAGTCCATAATACTCGTCATACAGTCACATTATGTCATACCAATTTTGGTATAAGTCTCATTAAGGTGGCTAGATAGATAGATAGATAGATAGATAGATAGATAGATAGATAGATAGATAGATAGATAGATAGATAGATAGATAGATAGATAGATAGATAGATAGATAGATAGATAGATAGATAGATAGATAGATAGATAGATAGATAGATAGATAGATAGATAGATAGATAGATAGATAGATAGATAGATAGATAGATAGATAGATAGATAGATAGATAGATGGATGGATGGATGGATGGATGGATGGATGGATGGATGGATGGATGGATGGATGGATGGATGGATGGATGGATGGATGGATGGATGGATGGATGGATAGATAGATAGATAGATAGATAGATACGCTCAAAGTCGCCGAAGTTTGCTAACAAAAGCTTGGTATTTAAAAAATGCACAATGACCACTCGAGTGCCGCCCATGCAAAACGCGGCAATCCCAACACACCAGTGGCGGTGACCGGACCGGCCGGTGACTGACCAGTGGAGAAGGAAAGAAGAAAATGCACTGGTTTGAGACTATGCTCCTCCTCTTTGTGAAAACGATCTACACAGCACTCGCGTTTTTCTAGCGTAGCAAAGCTGTACTACAGTGACTAGTTCACTGTAGCTGTACCAAACATGCCCATTCAAGAAAATACTGACACGCTCATAGTGTTTTGTTTTGACCCTAAAATTTTCTCCAGCGGAAGCGAGTCTGTTTTTTTTGTAGATTTTTTTCGGTGGCTCTCCGCAGCGGAGTGCTCCGGTGGGGAATTCGTCGGTCACTCCAAATCCGCCAATGAATGACCCCCAAGAGCGCTCTAGTCGCAATAACATATATAAGAAATAAAACGGCATGGACCTAATAGTTTATTAGTATTGTTTTTGTGCTTCATCATTTGTCTCTGACAAAGAGGTTATGTTGACAGTAGCACGCCATTAAAAAAGGCCGAATCACGGCAATATTTATTGTAACCTTTAGATTGTAACTTGCAAAAGCGCAGCGCACTCATTCATCAGTTACAAGAACTACACTATTGAGTATAACATTATTGATCATTGAGTCACATCGTGGTCTGCCTTTAGAAACTTAACAGTGGATAAAAAACATACAATACGCGTCTTGAAAGCA